GCTACGCATCTAACGAAACGAGCCACCACAGACTAGATTTCAGAAGCGAGGGCTCCAGAAGAGCACAGCGAAACGAAAACGGAGGGACAAAGAAGTAATAATCTCGGCGCCGCGCGGTTTCACCGCGGATCCAAAGACTCGGAGCTAAACTATACATATAGCCGAACTGGACTTGGAACTCGGGGATTAAAGCTAGTTCAAAACCGAGCCTAACTCCGCTTTGCGGTTCCTCACTTCTCGTCCGCGTAGTTTCACCACTTTGCGGCTAACTTCCGACCCACATTTCGTCCTGCGAGAGTTAATGCTCGTTAACGGTAGAATTGGCGCACAAAGGTGACTGACTTTCCACGCACGGTTGGATGGACCTCGCGAGTTTCGCCCATCTGTCCCGCGGACCACGTAAATTTCCAGGAAAAGGAACGTTCGCGCTGTTCGGAGAAATACGGAGTCTACTGTAACGCATCCCGCCCCCCTAAAGCTTTGTTACGAAGCAATTAAGCGGTCGAGAGCTTCCAGAACCAATCGGACATCGAAAACATTGCGTCCTGGAAAGGGCAAACTCTTTGCCCTTCTCTCCAGTACCTTGTACCTTGTATTTATTTAAAGTGATTAACTATACAACCATAGCTGTTACGGTAATACATACAGTCAGTCCCATGAGTATTCGTACCCTCTATGTCTATTGAAGACAATTGTCTAAATTAAATGACAGGTGTGGTGTTGCTTATTATCACCTTCGATATACTATATTATAAACCGCGATTCGTTACATGTTATTACGACGTCTGTTTCCAAAGGTAAAATCTGCATTAAAAGGAACAAGATTTGAGACCGTTGAAGCTGCGAAGGAAAAATCGGCTAAAGTTCCTCTTTACCGAGACGACGAACGTTCGATTTCCACGAATAAATAAATGTACTAATCGAATTCATTCGTTTTTTCATCCGTTATTCCTAGCAACGTTTGTCCGACACTGATAGGGAGTTATTTACAAGAAAATTAGGTGAGCAAATACTCTTTTCGCCCGCTGGAAATACCGATATTCGAAGACGACGTTCAAGATTCCTTTTTAGGATATGAGTGCACGGGAGAACGTTCGTTAGGAGGAGCAACGGGACGTAAAAACAACTTGGACTCAATCGAACGAGCGACACGTAGGTACACGAGCGCGAACGCGCACACAAGCGTGGACGGTGGATGTTTTCTGAGAACACACGGGTCGCGGAGTCACGGAGTGCTCTTTTACCGCGCCAAGAGGGAGGAGGAGTACTTTTTCGACAAAAAGAACGGATCCCCGAGAAAATACGAAAGCATTCGGAACCCGTGGCAGCTAGGTATCGGTGGAGAACCGCGAAGAAAATGTTTGCCGAGTCAACGGAACGTGTTTTCGCGGCGCGAGCGGTTTCTCCGGCACCGATGAAAGACATTAAAGCACGGTGGGAGTCTGGTTAATATTTAAACGACTCTGCCGGCACTCCAACCGTGCCCGAGGCCCGCTTCTTCTGTTTCCTTTAAATCTCGGACGTAGTCTTCGCGTCGAAAGACCGGCGAAACCGTCGGCATCCTTGGGGAAAATCAACCCATCGACAGGCTGCGGAAGAGCTCGCGAAAAATAGATCCGTGGAAGCTGGCGATGTTGTCGCACAGCTCCCTCGGTATTTCATTCGATTTAACTCAATTTTCTTAGCTGTGATTTGGAATAGGGATCGGCGAACCGTGACTTGTTGTTATTCGCGATGCTCGTCGAATACTTTTCTATTACGTCGAACTAGTCGGGAGATCTAATAAAAACGAGAAACACGGAATGTTCTTGCGCATCCCGTCGATTTCCCCGGCAAAAGAAAACACGACGGGAAGCGATCGAACCAGCGCGAGTTTATCGGTCGACGAACCGGACCGGTGTCAGCGCGATTCAAAATGAAATTTGCATCGGCGCCGCTTGGTCGCGCAAAATCGCAAACGCGTTCTGATTAGAGCCAAGTTTTCCGGCGCTGGTCGACCAAGGACGAGACGAGGGAAACGGGGGATCAAGGACGGGAAACCGGTTGGAAAAAAAAAAAGCTAAAGAAAAAAAGGTGGAGACGAAAGAACGGGAAAAGATTTGCCTCGGCTAATTGCATAAGATATGCGATTGTTTCATGCATATTCAGCGGGTCCTCGAGGTGGGAATGGCTGATCGCTGTTCCTTCCCTTCTTCTTTCCACCGTTTGTTTCTTCCTCTCTCGCGAAACGCCGCCTTCTTTCCCTGAAAGATCCCTTCGAACGAGTAATCCGATCCCTAAGCCGCGAAGTACGTCCTCGATATTAATCGAGTCCTCGATCTTGCGCTTCCAGCGACATGCACCACCGCGGCGCGTAGCTCCCTTCCTTCTCCGTGCAGATACTCGTCAAATACATTTCCTTGGCCGTCTATCTCGCGCAAATACCGTCGTCGAAAGGTACATGCAAATGTAAATATTATCTACGGATGGCAACGAAATCGATAACGAGACGTTTTAACGCTATTCACGCCATTGCCGCGTAAACTTAGCATGCGGGGGTTGGCGAAGACCTCCGCGACTCGGAAAACAGATTTATCGTTGGTAATGTCGCGAGATGGAATTCGTTGGACGAAGAACGTCTTCCGGATTAAATCGAGAAAACAATGCTTAATCTATCCGTATTCAAAAATATTAGGAGGAGGTGAAGTTGAGGTGAAAAATCACGCTTCGAGATAGAACAGCCCCGGTGAAACAAGAGCAAACGAAATCAGAGATTAACCGAGAACAAACTGCAAGAACAAGCGTAGCGCAAAGGGTTGATCAACCCCTGTGTCGATCCGTCGAAAAAGCAGTGATACATCGTGCTAAAGGGGATCGCGCAACATCGATTCGCGAGTGTGTGCCGTGGCAGACGCGTTCAAAGACTTTTCAACGGTATGCAAACGCATATACCGGGCACATATGCGCGGCCATCGTGGCTAATTGATAAACAGCGCTGCAGTTTCCGCGTCTGCGCCGACGAGCGAGTGCAAATTCAGCCGCTTTGTCGAAAATCAAAGCGACGAATCTGCGAACTAATTAAATACTGTTTTTGATACGTGTTGACCGCGTTGGTCAGACATCCGTCTACGCTGCCGCGGCTCTACGACGTCGATGGACTTTCAACATCGCGCAACGATCGTTACACTTATTTATTCTAGTACGGACAAAATTTGATAATTAGTCCCAGCATTTCTTCGCAGTCTACATAGTGGACCCGTTCGAGGCGCGAGGGAATTTTTATCCGTGCACGATCCCGACGAACGGAATAAACGCGCGTCGTTTCGTATTCAAGAAAAATCTTGGAGAATTCACGGCGGCGCTCGAACAAACTTGCCAACTTTCCGTCTGTTTCCTCCCCGCCGACGAACGGACCGCAATAATCGCGGATCCTCCAAGTTTCGTTAATGCGAGAACGTTCTTCTCGACGGAGCACAATTTCGCGAAACGGAGGCGAGCTTCTCGAGACGATTATCGGATTCCAAGGGAACGCGTTCGCCCTGCGGATTTTCCATCGGCGGACGTTCCTTCGAAATATCGGCGGGATGATTGATCACGAGAAAACTGGGTTGCGGATTTATTTATCTTTTTTTCATTCTTTTTCGTCGGCCTTTGTTTCCCCGTCGCTACGCCCTTTGTCCGCGTTCCCGACCGATTGCGCGTTCGCCTTTAGCCTGCTGCCTGAATTTCTCTACCTATGGCTGCCGTTATTTCCTGCATTTTCCTTCGCGCAATTGGCATCCTAACCCGTTCGAAACGCGAATTTTCCCACGTCGCTATACAGGATGACCCGAGTTATTCTTTACACCTGAGTAAGTGTAACTAATGTGCGAATTGTGTTTTATTTTTATTGTAAATCGCGTGCCTCGAAGGGTTAACTCGTCCTTCTTCTCCAAGAAAATTCCTAAACCATATACCATACTTCTCTCTAACAGAGACAACGAGCCAGCCATCGAGGATCTCGGAAAATGTTCGTTCCGTTCCGATAAAACGGACAGTGGCTCGAAAAGCTCGTTGGACTTTTTGTAACTAATTCTGCTCGCGTCCGGCGCACACGTTCGCTCGCGCTTCCGTTTCCATAGCTGGAATTTTATCAGAAACGGATGAATGGATCCTCTCGAAACAACGATGATTGATAGCAAAAGTTCCGTTTTTCCTGGCTTCTTTCTATTTTCGCTGGCTCCGCGTACGTGACCGCGTTAACCCATCGCCCGGCGCGAGCAAAGAAAACACGAAACACGTATTTACACGGTGTCCCGCGGCCCTTTTCCCGACATTCAAACGGAACAAACGCCTTCGAGAATCGCAGGGCCGCGAGGAATCGAGAAAGAACAAGCGGCGATAGGTCCGGGATAAAAGAACTCGCCGTGAGGGAAGGCAAAGGGCTCGAAAATTCCCGATATCGTGTTGGATTGGCTTCTACAAACCGAAAGGGAAGCACGAAGGAAACTCTGCGAGATTTGGAAATCGCAGGAGAACGCGTAGAATCCCTCGGCTTTCTTCACCGGTGAATGGCCTCTGACAATAGTATTGTGTTTCTTAAAAGCACGTGCTGGGACGATGCGGCGGATCGCTCGCGCATCCGTGAAACCACTCAGCCTGATTGAGGGAACGCAAGAAGGGTTCGTTGTTGCGCGATCGGATCTATACGATTCGATTAGCATCCGGTTCGCGGACAGCTGGTACCGACCGTGACGATGCTACCAAGACGCCGAGAACGCGGCAAAGATTTAACACGGTGACTCAACAAGTCATACTCGACGAACGATGCGAAGAGGATTTAACTCTTAGGTGTTAGATGGGTTAGAAACTGCTCCACCTTTTGCTTAGCTCTAATATTTTATTTCGAGTTTCTCGAGATACGAACCAACGCTGAATGTTGAATACGCGAACAGAGAAAGTAAAAATCTCTTTCTCCAGTACGAAACTTTCCCGCGCAAAAGTTTTGTTCCGCTCGTTGAAAGTGATTTTGTGAAGCTTACCGCCAATCAGGATGTGCACGAGGAGCGGAAGAAATCGGCATCGGCGCGCTCTCGTCATGATTCCTGGGTTCTACATGAACCGCTGTTCCCACCGTGGATGTCTTCGGCCGTCCAGTCCTTCGCGATTTTCCGCTGTCCTTTCGTCGATGCTGGTTGCAAAAAAAAAAAAAAACACAAACACGCGTAAGTATCGAAAGAGGGTCCCTTCTCCAACGAACCAACGTTTATTCCGCGTGTTCGGTTCGCGTCGTAATTGAAAACCGAACGGGGCAGCGCGATAGATCGGCGCGTATCGGAAACGTTCGGCGGACAGAAACGACGAGAAGTTGCGCGGACGAAGTCTCGGCTTCGACTAGCGCGCGCCGAGCTATCTGACTCTCTGATAACCGGCCAGCCCTCTCTGGTCCAACCCCCTCCCCTCCCGCATACTCTCACCCGTGCATATCGTCATCCAGAAGGCACCAACCCCGACAGGATCCCCTGTACCACCTCCGCCCGCGCACTAATTTGCGATTTAGCGTAGATCGCGGCCACGCGCCGCTTCGTCGAAAGGCCAATGAATTTATCGCTACGAATAACTCGCGACGCCGTGGAAAAGCACGTGTCTTCGACAACGCGACCACGGAGGTGGAGGGGTGCGAACTCGGTGACGGTGGAAGCGGTTGCACCTTCGAAACTAACGCTCGGGACGATTTGTCGATTGATACGGTACTTTGGAACGAGTACAGAGGATAAGAGCTCTTTCACACGACGATACGCGTATGCGATACGCATCTGCTAGCAAGATACTTGTGCGATACTGTATCCAACTAATTTCATAGCTCGGTGTTGATCATTTGTTTTTCAGTTAAACGTATCTTCTCGTTTGAGAAACACGCGTTCTTAGTTAGTGAAAACTTTTCTGAAATAATGAATGAGATTGAAGCTTTATCCATTTGGTTTCTACATAAAAAAGCTACTAAAAGGAGAACAAGTTCAGAGAAAATATAAGAGAAGAGAAGGGAGCTTTTCATATTTTATTCGAAGAACTTTGTAACGATTCATGTAAATTCATCAATTATTATCGGACGTCTAAAATTTTTTTCATGAGGAAGGTGAACGAATTCGACGATACCGCGCAGCGTCGTGCGAATGCTCGCATCTATTTCAATGAAAATCAGTATCGCGATACTGTATCTCGCGAGAATCGCCGTCTGAACGCTTCCATAACATTATGTGTACCATCGGTATCCTGCATACGCGTATCGTCGTGTGAAAGAGCTCTGAGATTAAGGTTATGTTTTCGAATTTTCATTTGTAGAGTATCGAATGGTCGGACGAAAGTGTATTGTATCTACGTTTTCCAGTATCAAGTTGCGCACGCTTTATTGAAGTAAACAAACAATTTTCTTTCTTTTTTTTAAATCCACAATAGTTTAACATACGAAATAAAATTTCTCTGAGAAATATGGAAATTGCTAGCCTTCGGTATCGAATCACGCGCGATAAATAATTTACTCGTGGAAACACGCGGATATTAAACCGCAACGTCTGAAGTTCCTTAGTTAAAACTCATCGTTCGAGGGTTCTCCCTTATTTATGTATTATCGCACACCGAGCTACACTGCGATCGCTTGAGCGTTATTAAAATCTATCAAACTAACGCAAACTTAGATTCGGTATAGCTCGAAAGATGAAATCTCTTCGGCGATAAAAGATATAATAGTAAACTCTCTTATTAACTGGTCGATAATGTAAAATGTTTATTCGTCGATTATTTTGAGATTGAATATTTCTAATGATGCGTTATATTGTCTCGTCATCGAAGTAGATTGTTTCGCGGTCTTCTGTAACGGATACTATAAAAATAATCGATTCGCACGAACGTCGACCGAAAGTTCAATGCCGTACCGTAAGAAACCGGATTGAAACGTGCCACTGAAAGCATAAGAGCGTTAACATTCAAATTCTCTTTATGAAATATTGTTATGGTTAGAATAGAACAAAAAAATTATATTGTCTAGAACTCGATGTGTTCCCTGTATCGAATTGAATAAAAAATGTGTCGGATCAAAGTAGAGTCAAGTTCAAGTAATTAAAGTTACCTGACTTGAAGTCAATTTGGTTTAATTCCTACTTCGACTTGACTAACATGTATTGGTGTTGGACACGCCGAATAAAATCACATAGTCGTGTAACGATAGAAGCGAATATTTGAAACTATTCCACGCATAACCAAAGTTTCTTCAAACTGTCTCGGTACAATCCTAATGTTTAACTGTAGCTTGAACTTTAACGGTCGTAATATTTCGTAAACTTCTGTTTACTTTGTAGATATCATTCGTTGAATTCAACGGTTGTCTGTATTTGAAAATACACTGGTGTCACGGAACGAGAAGGGATGGAATTTCCGTTACGAGGATCACGTTTTGTAAGTCGGAAGCGCGGGTCTACAGTTGAAAACAAGCTGAAGATATAAACGTGACGAAAGTTTTCCGTGTAAATCGGACGTTAGCGCCTCTAGCGAGTTGCGCAACAGTCGCTAGACCTTAACAGCATTGCAACTTTTTGGCGCCAACTGACATTCTGACTGCAAGGCGCTGTATACTCCAATTCTGTGAAAATTACGTAGAAAAATCAGTACGTACGCGAACGACGATATCAGAAACAATTGATCGTTCGTACGTTGCAGTCATAAAAACGGTTTTACACGGGCATTTCTAAACATAACCTCGGTATGGTTTCAGTGCCGCCAAGGAAAGCAACAAAACGGTCTGCTGTAGTTTCATCGAAAGGTCCACGGGAACCGAAGCAAATTAAGAAAAAACAAAGTGAGTATTTGTTTCGTTAACGTTAAACATTTTCTCCGTTTAATTTCATAATACATTTTGACGCTTAAACAATGGGAAATAATTTAGACGAGTTTTATTGAAAGACCACGATGCACATGGATACGTTACGACTCTACGATCGATTCGTTTATTGTTTCCCGTTGATTAATAATTGAAAGCATGTTCTCTGTATATTTTAGTTTAATTCCACGAAATCGTAAACGTATATTTTAGTTTAATTCCACGAAATCGTAAACGTAATGTCTGTCATCTTTTCGTGAACGCAGATAAACGTTTTCATGCAATTTTTCCGTTTAATGTTTAGTTACGACACCTGACTTGCGACAGTCTGCAACTGGCGGCGTATTGTTGGTATTTGGACAAGGCGATGTGGGACAACTTGGTTTGGGAGAGGAGATTGTTGAGAAAACGCGTCCAGCAACAATTTCTGGATATCAAGATATCATAGCCATAGCAGCTGGTGGCATGCATAATGTATGCTTGAGGAAAACAGGAGAAATATTAACATTTGGATGTAATGATGAAGGAGCATTGGGACGAGATACATCTGTGGAGGGTTCTGAAACTAAACCAGGTCCTGTCGATCTGCCAGCCAAAGTCGTTCAGGTGACGGCTGGAGACTCCCATAGCGCTGCCCTCTTAGAAGATGGGAGAGTTTTTGCATGGGGCTCTTTCAGGGTATACTTTTACTGCTTTAAAAATTTACCCATTAAATACTTTTAGATCTAAGAAAGAAAATTATGTCAGAGTTAAATATGTTTTCAAGGATTCCCATGGTACTATGGGTTTAACAATGAAAGGAAACGAACGATTCCCAATAGAAATGCTACCTAACATTAAAGTAATCAAAATAGCATCTGGTGCTGACCATTTAGTATTACTTAACGAAAATGGACACGTGTATACATGTGGTTGCGCGGAACAAGGTCAATTAGGACGAATAGCTCCGAGAGCAGCTAATAGAAATACCCGTCGCGGCATGGGTCCGATGTTATCCCCAGATTTAGTTCAATTTAAAATTACGCAAAAATTAGGATTCGATGATATCTGGGCTGGAACATACTGTACATTTGCTAAAGAAAACCACACTGGAAATATATATGTATTTGGTTTAAATAATTATTATCAAATTGGTAAGTACACGGAAATATTCATAAAATACTAAGCACGGTATAAACGATAAAACGGATAAGTACGGATTAAACGACATAAAATTTTAGGCTTAGAAGATCCAGTGACTCAGTTCTATCCTCAAATATCAAAAAGCTTTAGTGGAAAAATTTGGAGACATATCGGTAGTGGACAACATCATACTATTGCCCTGGATGATTCTGGCAAGGTATTCGTTTTAGGTCGTAAAGAATACGGTCGCCTCGGACTTGGACCTAACTGCGTAGATGCAAAGCAATTAACAGCAGTTCCTGCTTTAAGTTCCTTTAAATGTGTTGACGTTGCGGCGGGAAGCGCTCAATCCTTCGCGGTTACCGAGTCGGGTAATTTTCTACTACTATTCTATAATTTATACTTTGTCTCGTAATAAATTAAATAAATGCCTTGAATTACACAGGAGATTTATATTCGTGGGGTATGGGAACGAGTGCACAACTAGGTACAGGAGAAGAAGAAGACGTCGAAGAACCTGTACTAGTCAAAGGAAAACAACTGGAAGGCAAAACAATAGTACGGGTGTCGGGTGGAGGTCAACATACGATAGCACTAGCAATAACTCGTGCAGGAAAAGACGAAACTGCTGACAAATAAAATACTTCACTAAACTTAAAAAAAATCTCTATGTGATAGGAATTTGGACAACGAAAAAAAGAAAATTTGCAAAAAAACTCGACTTAAAGGAGAAAGTGTAATTAAAGATATTTTTCATGTTATACTGTAATTTTGACATTCATACAAGATACTTCAATCTGTACATAATTTCTTGTGCTACAGAAATTAAATCATTGTGCTTGTAATGATTAATATATAAATAAACATTTTTCTACATGTGAATTATATTTTGTTTAAAAATATATTGGTTTGTTTGTTTATACTTGTTTGCGTTCATTATTTTGTTTTACCACTAGCTGAGAAGCCGCGATTTTAGAGATGGCTTTGTACGCTATGTGAACAAATTAATAACTCGATTAATTCTTTCACATATGCAGCCAGAGAAAAAAGTATACGTTAAATTATCGCTATCTTAAACTTATCAATAATAATGCTTAAAAAAACATTTTATTTATAACTATACAGCTAAATACAGAATAATTTTATTACAATTTATTCTAATTCATATAAACTACAGAAATAATTTATGACTAAGATAATAACATTTATAATGGCATCAAATTGCTAATAATTTCTTTCGTGATTATAAATTGCCCGAAGAAAGAAAACTATTAAATGCACAAGGATGAAATTTATATTAACTTTTTTCTTAACAAAATGATACTTCATTTTTGTTGTTCTGCAACTTTGCCTTTTAAAAAGCTATCTTCTTGCATAGAAATTTGGGTGAGCTTCTTCCCAATACGCTCATGGACACTCAGATATTTTGCGATACAACGATCAAGGCATATTGATTCCCCCTTAGTTAATTCTGCTTCGATGTACTTTGGTGGAATACATTTTCTATGACATGCAGATGTCATACGATTATACATATCAGACATCATTTCTATTTCTAGATTCTCTACTAATTTTAATTGATCTTCACCAAGTTGAGGTACCCCAGCCATGTTTTAGTCTAATTGCTTATTATTTTAGAATATTAAAGTCTTCAGACAGATATTTTATTCCACAATAGTAGCATCACGAATACGTTGTCTCGTCTTCATATTTTCATATCTTTTTGCATCAATATTTCTCTTGGAAAGTACAAAACAATATATTCCTGCAGCGGCAGTTATAGTCCTGCAAAAACAATCGTTGTATAAGTAAGAACCAATAGTTGTATCACGTTTAAAGTAGGTGAAAACGTAACAAAACGATAAACAAATAAAGAAACGAAGACCTTATTTACTTTCATACAAAAATTACTCGCATAGATATTTTTATATAAAAAGTTAACCGCAAAGAAATGATACGAAAACTAGTAATCGTAAATGGTTTAACTCTACATACCTACCATCCTATTCCTATCTTTGTTACAGTTGGAAAATTCATTGTTTTTTAAATCAAATTACAAGAGATTTCTATATTACGAACGAAAAACATTTGTATACCTGCACATTCAACGTATAACGATGCGACCATGTGACCTTAGGAGTTTGTAACCTCTTTCAGTTAGCTCCAGTTAGCTCATTGGATAGATCGGACATGAATGAACGATGCTGAAGATAGGGAAGTGAAGTGTGTTTAAAGTAGCAGTAACTTGATAAAAATTAAAGCTGAACAACTAAAGTAAAAGATTTCTAATTTTAATATGCATTTGTAGAATTTTAAAGCAATGTATTACGATTATTTAATATGTAAGGAAACCTTCATACATTTATTTCATTTTAAAAAAACCTAACGAATTTTGGATTTTATAGGTTTACAACCAGTGAAACTGGCAATGAGTCGAACACTTCACATGATACGTATTTTAATCGTAACGTCTGCGTAACACGAGTGATGTCGAGACGATAAAACTGCATTGCTACAAAGGTAATTGTTACATTGCATTAAAAATCAGTAGCCTTTCGTGAAATGTGGCTTCTTCGTTTCGTTTCTTAACATTAATGATATATTAGTGTTTAAAAATCTGTCATGCTGAAAGGAAAATATACAAAAATCTTAAAACAAATGATTCTTCTAATTAGATGACAGCCTGTTTAATTTGCATTACGAAAATATAATTTCACATAAATCACTGAAAATTTGTATGCAAAGTAAAAGTAGAAACATGTTTAAACAAAGCAATTTTTTCACCTATAATAACGACATGATGTGGAAAACGTTCGTTCGAGAATCTTCCGACGTTCCGAACATATCATCGGAAATAAAAGAACATCGATTAGGATTTCAAGGCAATGAAGCCAAAGAGGCTTACGAAGAGGTTGTAAGTCAAGAGAGTAACGTGAATTTGCAACTTGAGAAACATAAGTATTGCAAACCTAGGACACTTGTTACTCGAAACAATGTAACGTCGAGATCGATCTTTTCGAATGAGAAAGTAAAAAAGAATCAAATCTCCGAGGAACAGGTGACAATTAATTCCATATTAAAAGCAGTGGAACAAAAGGATTTAAAATTTTTACTGAAACACGCAACACAAGAAAATGTTAATTTAACAGATGACTTTGGTTGGACTCCTTTAATGTCGGCTGCTTATTGTGGCCACTTAGATATTATCAAATTTTTATTGAATCTTGGAGCCAACAAAAAAGCTAGAGAAAAATCTGGTCTTACTGCTGCACAACTGGCTTTAAAAAAAAATTATTTAAACATAGTTGCTTTACTCAAAAAGAAAACAGAATCTAAAACTAATAAAATTTCAGCAGAAATAAATGTTGATAAGTCAGGAATGAATAATGATGGTGTGTTGCAGACAAGATCAGAACTAATAGAACCTTTGACAAATCACATTGGAATCATACATAAAAATAATAATAGTGCAAGAGAACAGTTGGAAGAAGGTACAGGTTTTTACTGTGAGATTTGCAAAGTTTATTTTTATGAAACATCTTGGAAGAAACATGAGACATCTACCCTTCATATTTTCAATACAAAACCAAAACTATCAAACGCTATGTATGGAATATCAAAACAAAATAAAGGTTATCAAATGCTTTTAAGTACTGGATGGGATGAAGAATGTGGTCTTGGTCCTTCAGGGAAAGGAATGAAATACCCTATAAAAACATGTCTAAAAATTGATAGAAAAGGAATAGGTCAGCCAAGTGGAAATGGATACAGAGTAACTCACTTCAAACCTGGAGATACTACAGCAGTTAGTAATCTTACAATACCCAAGCAAAAATACCTTAAAAAGAAAGACAGAGAAAAATTGTTGAATAGAGAAGTTACAAAAGAAAGATCATTACGCATTGCTTTATCTTAAAGTTCAGCATTTTTGTAAGCTAATATTTAAGTTTCTTGTTGAAACTTAATGAAATAATTTTTACATTCACTACTTATTTTAAATGTGTAAGTCATGTGTTCATTTTCATATTTTACATACTTTACTACAATTATGTAAAAATTATTTTTCAATGAAGCAATATTCATAGTGTCAATTACATTTTTTGTTATAGATGAAGGATGATCAACAGATGTTATTAAAACATTTGCAACAGGTAGAAGAAAAAGCAGGGGAGATACTGACAGATCGCCAGGAAATAGTTGCCTTAGACAAGAGAAGAAACAATGATAGAGTTGGAATGAGGGCACTACAGAAAGAAAAATGCAAGAAAACTTGGGTAACTGTTGGACCATTGTTGCTTAAAATGCCATCCAAAACTGCAGAAGAATTACTTGTAAAAGGTTGTTTGCTTCTTCCATGGATAATTTGTTTTTAAATGCGTTATATTTAACTTAAAATTTGTTATTGCATTTCAGATCAAAGAGAATGTGATATTGAAATCAATAAGTTGAGGAGTAATTTAAAAATTAAAGTGAATGAACTACGAGATTTGGAATTTAATCCACCTGTTCCAGGTTTAATGTTACAAGCCATGTCATATAAAGAAATGTCTGCAATAAACCAAGTATTAGGTCAAAGCTCTTAAATATATATAATAATATAATATGTAATATATTTGTATTTTATACAAATATATATATTTATGAGTATGTATAATATAATTATATTAAATATATATATAATGCCTTTGTAATATAATGAAATTCATTTTCAAGTAGATATCAGGCTTACATCAGATAATATAAATGATAAAACATTGTTTTATTATTATCGAATTAGTTTTATAAAAATGTATACATTAAAATTATTCATACATTTACAATGTTTTGTTTACAGTTGCATTAAATATTGGAAGGGATAAAGGAGGTTACTGAATCCGACATATATTTCTTTTTTAATCGACTTCAAAAAGGAGGAGGTTATTGATTCGACATTTTTTTTTTTAAGTTAAACGATAACGTAATTAAAATAAAATAATGTAAAGGTACCTTAACGGTTTTCAAAATGTCGCTTCGCTTTATCGATATACCACGAATGTAAAAAAGTGTATTCAAAGTTAGGATCAGGTTTTATCTTGTGAACTATAATGCTGTCAATTCTTGGTTCATATGTAAATTTATAGAGACATTTCTCGTAGTCCTCGGTAACGATCGTTTTTACTTTCTGTAGAAACTGATCACAAAAATTTCTGCATATTTCATGGCTCCATGAATCCTGTATGAAAAGTAATGAAGATAACTTCTGAAATCTGTACTTAGATTGTATAAATTGTACTTCAAATACAAATTACTCTTGAATCAGATGCTAATTGCCTGAGGTTATATTCCTTTATCTTGGTAACAATACCATCATCATTTCTATGACCACATGTAATCCTTTTTATATCTACTAAGTAGCACTGACACCACCATTGTAGAGTTCTAGGTGCTCTGTAGCCTCCTTTGACAGGAAGCATATCACCCTTGCTGTTAAAAGCTCTATGAGTCACAGTTTTTAATTCTATTAATTCAACATCTTTTCCTATTAATATATCTTCTATTTGTTGTTGGAAACAAATACCATCAATTTCAGCCCCATAAAGTAAAACTGTTTCCCTCAGCTTGGACTTGAATACACAACAAAATTCTTCATTTTGATTTAAAGGGAGAGATAAATCTGGATTTGTAGAAGGTTTACCTAATGAAAGGAACAAATTTAAATCATTTTTTAGTTTGATAAAAATAAAAAACATTTATTAATTGTATCTTATAATAATTTTGTTATAATTTATAACCTGATAACAAATACTGTTCAAATTTGTATCCCCATGAAGACCATTGTTTTATATGAGCAGGTTCTTTTAAAATTCTCTGTTTTTTTTTATCAGTATCAAAGGCGCATAAATATATTGTCCCCTTAAATTTTGAAGCGCATATAATCCACCCATCTTCTTTATGGTATGGTGTAATCATCAGAATTTTTAACAAACCGCGAAAGCAAACAATTTCGGGTTCTAACCTAGTACATAAAACGTATCGCAAAGGTTAAAAATATTGTACAAAAATTTATCAACGGTTGTTCTATATAAATTTAGATTATTTTTTTTAGTGACTTAAAATTTCGATTAAATTGTTTAATGGTAATCTCTAAAGATGTTTATAACTAACCAGCGATCATTTTCATTGTTGGAATCTTGTCTTTTAAGTTGATCGAAATTTTCTGACATCCATCGTAATAAATTATCTAACTTAGAATCTTCGTTTTCTGGTTTGTATATCGTATTATGATTATCGTCAAGATCAAAATAGACATTATCAGGATCCAACGGTTTTATGTAATACTTCAATTGTGATAAATCATTACAATATTCTCTTACACCGTTGATACTATAATGACCAACGATCTGTGGTTTGGCAAAATGTTTAGCTGGTCCTGTTAAATCGTTTATTTTAAATTTTGTATACATTATAAAGGGCTTTTGTTTTTTGTATAATTATACTTGATTATACTGTAGGTTTTAGTGTTATCTATTACTGCTTATCACTGGAAAAAGCAATTGCTATAATTATATTATCCTTCATGTCGGATTGTGACACATTATATGTGTTATTTTTAATATAATATCTGAAAGAAACAGATAACTAAATAATTGTACCATGAATTGAAAAATACCTTGTTCCAATTGAATTCTGCACAATGTTCACGGATATGCATACTAGGTGCAATGCTACACTTTGTACATTTCTGTGTACATATGTGTCGAATCCATAGGAAAGTCCTGGGAAGTCCCTTTGATTCACTTCGTCTTCAACGCCATCTAGCGTTAACAAAATCCACGGTATTGTGTCAGCAGTGGATAAAATACGTTGAAAACATTTGTAACATAAACATTAGTCAAGTACTATCAGGTTACTGTTCTTTATTACCAATTTTTGTATTATTTGAAGTTTTCAATTTTTATAATATACGCATTGTACTGTTTTAGAAGTTGGTTCGAATCTACCATAAAAGTGATGATTACACAGGACAAAACAAATACATGTGTCTAACACACATGTAGTTTACAGTTTAAATTTGTACTAACAGTAGTCATTTTACGGAAGTTTATAATTCACCATTAAAAAAGGATGACATCGCGAGAAATATTAACTATTCAATTTGGTTATTACTCCAATTTTATTGGTACTCATTGGTGGAATCTGCAGGTATTTAATAATAACTTATAAAAAATTATTGAAACATATTATGGTAATTTATTTCTTTCTTCCACTTTCAGGAATCTAATTTTTCATACGATCCCCATAACCCATCTGAAATAAATCATGATGTTTTGTACAGAGAAGGAGAGAATTTGAAGGTATGTATAATTATAGAGATAATATAAATTTTAGATAATAGAATGACATTTGTGATTTTCTGTTATCTACAGTTAAATTTTGGTTTTACAGAAACAAGTTACTTATACACCCAGATTGTTAATTGTAGATTTAAAAGGAGTGCTGGGATATTTGAAAGAAGAAGGTACTTTGTATGAGAGTTCAAAGCACAATGAAACACAACCCCTATGGGATGACAATAAAGTGGAAGTCACAAATGAAGAGACAGTTGTTCCAACGTCGTTCATTAAAAGTTTGGATGATCCCTCTGAAACTTCAGAAACAACTTTCAATTTAGAAGATAAGGTTAACTCATGGGTAGATTATCTATTGCCCAGATTTCATCCCAGAACGTTAAATGTAATTAAACAGTATACACACGAGAGTACAACAAGTCCATTCGATGTTTTCACTTATGGGAAATGTCTGTGGAATACGGAACAATTTTCAGAAGATTTTTCAGAAAGAATAAGAACTTATGTAGAGGAGTGCGATCAGATGCAAGGTTTCCAGGTGTGCATTTGATTACTTTACTTTACTATTTTGATTTATATAAATTGTCTATATATTATTTCCTAATAATTATAATATATCAAAATGTAGGTAATACTAGATTCTGTGGATGGTTTTGCTGGACTTGGAGCATCGTGTATACAACATTTAAAAGATGAGTATGGAAAAAGTATACTGTCGTTTCCATGTATGGACAGTAAGAAGACTGAACCTTCCACATCCGATCAGATTAAAGTTCTTAACACAGCTCTGTGTTGGCAACACATAGGAGAGTATTCTTCGTTGTTCAGTCCACTCTGTTGTAAACAAACAGTCTTGCCTACAGGGGATTTACGAATATTCGATCATTTAACATACAATTCCGAATTAAATTATCACAGTAGTGCGCTTCTAGCAACTGCTTTGGATACATTAACCATGAGATATAGACGTAAAGAGTATCCAAACGTTGTGTTATCCGATTTGTGCGCGGATTTAAATACATTGGGCCGAAAAGCAGTGGCAACGAGTTTATCTTTGCCATTCCCAATGGCGGCAAAAATGGATTTAATCGATGTATTGGACGAGTTTACGGGAACATTATGGACAAGCTTAACCCCAAGTTGTGATATAACAATGGATAGAAATATGCAAAGCATAGGATTACGAGGAGTTCCCGAAGATAGATTAAAACGACCGTTATCTCAGGCAACGAAACAGATTTCAAAGGCTGCGTACAGATGTTCCACCGTGCACGAGATGATGATGCTTTATTTCAGCTGCAATTGTCACGCATCGCCAACCTATTTATCTACAATTTCGTCGGCATTGAAGATAAAAGAACCATATCCAAACATTTTCAATAACAACATTACCGAGAATGGAGACATTATTGGCTGGCCTGTAGGAACAGGTGCATCATTGAAATACATTTCTATCAATTGTATACTCTCCGAAAAATACCATTTCCTCGATATTTCTTTTTATTAATTTTTATTTTCAGACGTCAAATCTGTTCCTGTTATGGCTGGTTTACACAATGGACGCAGCCTTTCGACGATGTACGAATCTTTGCACAACCAAGTGAGCAGGATAAGAAATATAAACAAATTCCACGCGTTTACCAACTCTGGTTTGGAAGACGACGAGTTTAAAGAATGTCTGAACCACCTGCTCGATTGTAAAGAGAATTACGAAGACTACTCTTAACTGTTCCTAAACGATGTTAAGTTAATTACTCGAAAGATTACCGCTTACTGTAATACATTCATTTTTATTAATACAACAAATTGTTTCGATTCCTTTTTGCTTCCTACTTTACTTGTAAGCAGGAAGAGCGAGCAAGAACGAATTCGAATTTTCTCGTAAATTCCTAACTGGAGCGTTTCTGAAGGCGGGAGCGGCCGCGACACACCCTTTTATTATTAGATTTCGCGTTGGACATCGGGGGTGCGAAAACTCAGTTGTAAAGTTCAACTCGTAAACGAAACACCTGTATTCGATGCCTGTGCGTGGACGACGATTGTCGGTTGCTCGTTATCGAACTGGAGTATCGGAATTATCGGAGTATTCGTTATCGAATTGAAATGGGAAACAAGGTGGCCACGTTTACCGAAGAACAATTGGAGGATTATCAGGATTGCACCTTTTTCACGCGCAAAGAGATCTTAAGGTATTTACACGTAATCGTAGATGGTTTCGTTTTGTAGCGTGTACGTCGATATTTTTACAGAATATTTAAACGTTTCCGTGAAATGGGAGACCCTGGGGTGGTTCCACGATCCATGACACCTCAGCAAGCATCGACGATTCGTATACCCTTATCATGTTTGACTCGTATACCAGAATTGAAGGTTCTTGGGTTAATATTGTCGCGTAAGATTCACGACGCGAACGCTTCCTCGACATTGAATCGCGATGTTTCAGGAGAATCCCTTCAGGCAACGCATGTCGGAGGTGTTCGCGAAACGTCGGAATACAGGACAGTCGTCGACGACGGACGTTGAAGGGATCTGCTTCGAGGAGTTCCTTGAGATGATGTCGGTTTTTTCGGAGCAGGCTCCGCGGGACCTGAAGGTCTTTTACGCCTTTAAGATTTACGGTACGGACCACCACGTGAACCAGACAGGCGGACGGATCGTGAGAGAGCTTCGAGGTCGACCTCGTTCTACCTATAGCCGTTCTACGGGACGAGAAGTACATACGGCGTCCAGACACGGCATTCGCGTTGCACGAGAACTATTTACCGCGGAACGATTATTGATTTTCTCACAACGCGACGGATTATTACTTTTTTTTTTTTACGCTACACACGAATCGACCATAGCGTTCACTTCTCCGTGTCGTCGGTTTCGACGCTAATCTTCTCTATTTTTCTGCGAATAGACTTCGACGAGGATGGAGTATTAGGGTTGAGCGATTTGGAACACACCTGTCGCCAGCTGGTTCAAGATGGTTTGAACGCCGACGAGGTGGCCACCGTGTGTCGTAAAGTCCTAGAGGAAAGCGACATCGACGGCGACGGCGTCCTATCGTACCTGGAGTTCGAACACGTCATCACGAGAGCCTCGGATTTCATGGCTACTTTTCACATACGGATCTAATCCTCTGATCTAATAAAAATCAACTGGCAGTCGATGTAAAAAATAAGTCTACCTATTTTCATTGCTCGTGTTTACCTTACTCTTAGACTGAACGATGCTTTATAGTTTTAAGAGTATAATGCAATTATTAACCGAAAGTTGGCGTCGAAGAGCATTTCCGGACTACGCGTGAAAGGTAACAGAGGCGTCCGACCTTACAACAGCTTCTTGACCTACGAATTCGAAAGCGGTCGCTCGCATAGCTAGACAACTCGCCGTTCGGAAAGAATAGTTCGTACATCGTTGATTCCTCACGGTACAAGTACCGCCAACAACAAGTTTCGCAAACTCACGACGGATAATTATTAGCTACGCGAATCTGTACGCGCTTAGTGAAGCGCTACCATATAGTTTCCAACGAGTCGCAGATATACACTTTCTTGCACGGCCCCATAAGTTGCCCCTGTTGAGCAATAACGAGCAATGCCGGCTAAATAACCAGGCCATTCGTTTTCGCTCCGGGACAAGAATCTCCCGCGACCCGAAATAATCTCCAAGATGATTTCGTGACTTTTGCCAACGCGCATAAATCAATTTCACGCGCGATAGAAAATCGACGAAAACGAGAGATTCTCTAAGGTTGAGCAGCGTTGCTGTAAACGAAGCAGAGAAGTATTAGGTTGTCCAGAAAGTTCGTGCCAATTTTTAAGAAAACTTCAAAGGCACATTTGAACTGTAATATACATTTATTTATATGTACATTTATTGAATTACATAGATACTATTTTGCTCCGCAACCTTTCCACCTTTTAAGGGATGTTATTTGTTTTCAGCCATTTCGACATATTCAGACCTGCACCACCTATCAGAAATCGGCACGGACATTCCGGACAACCCAATACTTCAGCTTCGCACTGTTCCGCATCGAATCGAGTGAAAAACTAAGGTGCGGGAGATTTTCCAGGCCATCTAACCCTAAAGAATTAATCGAGTAAGGACACGTAGCGTCCTTTCCAAACTCAAAAAAATGAAACGGTCGGAGCCGAAAGAAGGTTCGTCCATTTGAAAAAAGAAGAATGGTTAGCAACCCTAGTTTGGGGTGAATTGGAATGAGGAGCGGGTGGTGGTCGACGGGATTCGCGGGTATCGTCCTTTTGGAAGTTGTATAGTCCCTCTCGACCGTTCGGTTGCGATGTTAGCTCGGTGTCATGGGTCCGGTCGTCTTAAAAAGCGGTCGAAATCGGAGATACCGCCCTGTGTTACGGAGCTCGACCAGTTATAGTCGGCCGCGCGGTAACTAACCGAGTCTTGGGACCAAGGCCATCCGGTCACTTCTCATCCTTCTCTCTTCCCCGCTCGTATCCCAGCCCGTTCCTCTTGCCGGGTCCGTCCAGAGGGCCCTCGGGGTCCGAGGAAGCCCCCTTGCCTCCTGGGTCCTCCGTCGACACCCTCTGTGCCCCTCTCCGCTGTGGCGGCGAGGATCACCGCTCTCGCGAGTCTCCCCCTTAGCGATCACGGCTAACCGACCAACCAACCACCTTCCATGCCGAGGTATCCCGTGCATTCTTGGAGCCCCGTCGACGCGACGCGACGCGGATCGGCTCGTCCCCGACGAGTCCGTGTGGAGGAACCGCGAGGTCTCTGAGGGAGGAAGGGATCCCGGGACGAGGAGTCGGAGAAAAGGGGAATGAGAAGGCAAAGATCGCGGGTGGCAGCGACCAGAAGGAACAGCAGGAGGAAGAAGATGAAGAAGACGAAGGAGAAGTTAAGGAGTCACGAAAGAGGGGGAGGCTGGCCAGAGGATGATAGCGGAGGCGGTTGGCGGAGGGCAGATTTGAACCTAACTTTTACTGCACCCTACGTGGGCGAGTTCTCTCGCGGGAGATCTCTAGAACCTTCCTTCGGGGCCTCGGACCTCGACCCCACGATCACGCAGCGACATCATTGACTCAAAGTATTTCAATGGCTCCAACGAATCGGTATATTCGTAAACGCTCCGTGCACGCGAGCGAAAATCGTACGGTTCCTCGACAACGTTTATTCATTTCGTTCTTTCCGTTTCCGAACCGAACGGATGCCAGGTATCGAGCGAAATTTGTTTATTTATGTATTTCTATGAATGAGAATTAGACAAGGGACAAGGGGTTGTCGTATTTCATTTCCTTCCAACTTTTCGTTTCTTGTTGTTTTCGTTCGCGCGTCGTAAAAGCCGGTGTCGCCCGCAGCCGAGAACACGCATCGACACCGGTAACGTAAATCGTTCGCGTAACGATTGAAAAAAACCGTTTGAAACACGCGTCGGGATCTTGAACCGACCGAAACCGGACGCGAGTCTTCCATCTTTCTTCTGTCCGATACGTTGTTCGGCGAAGCCGGTATTCAGATTCAACGCGAATCGCGAAGAAGTCGAGCTCTCCGGCCGAGTACCGTTCGATCGGCAGGGAGTCGCTTAAAAATTCTTTTTCACGGATCGCGTGGAAAAATGTAATTCGATGCAAATGCGATCGAACGAAGGCCAAACTGTCGCCGACGGTGATTTGTAACGGCGCGTTGTAACGAGAGCTACGCGAAAAACCGCGCGAAACGGCTCTCGTCGATCGCAACGGCCCTTTGTTGCCGCAAGATAACGCGAGATTCTCGTACCACGCAAAGTCACCTCGAGAAGCTCTGCCTTGTCCACCTCATTCGTTGGACGAATGAAATCAACGACTAGTTGGTTATTCGACCATGGAATGTTGCGTTGTACCATACGAAATTTCATTATTCCGAAGAGCTACTCCAAAACATGAATGTGGAAACAACGAAGATGACGGAAGGGGTCAAGTGGATCTTAAAATCCGAAGGATCGCGATTCGAAGAATTCGAGAGGGCCTGCTCGACTGGATGAAATTCCTCGGTACGAAGAATGATTCGAAAAATGTATCGCTTTATCAGGCTCGACTGCGGGAACGAGAGTAAACGTTTTCCACGGTGGAAAAAGCTATTGCTCGTGTTCCGTGACAATTACAGAGACTACGGGAACGCGGTAACGCGCGCATTAGACGCGTCGAGGTTGAGCCGGGCCTTCGAGGTTGATTGGGAGCAGCAAAGGTGGAAAGCGGATACCTACGCATCGCTCTCTGACAAGGTTGCGTCGACCACTGTCTAGTCGAAATAATATTGGCGGTCTTGTGGGCACATATCGTAGTGGTTCATAAGGAGGCGAGAGCTTGTATATAGAGAGAACCGTCTACCAAAGAGGGGGAGGAAGGGTTCCAAGGAGCCGGTTGGCCAACGGAATGTGGCTTGACCGGCCGACCATCCCCCGCCTCCTCTACCATGAATCCATCGGGAACGAGAGAGAAAGAAGGAGAGCCAGATAGAGGACTGGCCCAACTACCTTTGGATCCTAATGGGCCCCATTGGGGTGCTCGAATATTCTTTCGCTATCTCCTGGGTATCTTCGCCGTGAGATTTGTAATCCGGGAGAAGCGCCGTTTTTTTGACGTCCCCCTCAAGTACCTGCTGTTCCATGATTTTCGATGTCCACGAGCCAAAGAGGGGGTGGGGTGGGTGAGGGGGGGGGGGGAGGGCGGTGGGGAGACAAGTCAATATCGTTTTATTGCCTAGACTCGGGGAAACGAAGCGTGATCTATCTCTGGTAAAACGAACGCGATTTATGCGTTTGAACGTGCGATTAGGCAGCCAGATAGGAGCCGCGCGTATTATTGCGAGTCTATCTTGATCTGTCGCAACCGTCGAAGGTAATTGCAACTTCGCCGGCACGATTATCTCTCCGTATGGGCAAGAAGGCAATAAAAGTGGCCGCGAACTATGCGGCTGTCCATTCACGATGCCGAGATGCTGCTCGAAGAAGACGCGTTCAAGATCTACGCGCCTCCCGAGCAACGTTTCCCAATCCTTTCCACTCCGGATCACTTCTCGTCGTTCGTTTCCATACCGAGTAGTCTTTACATTTGATCGTTTGATTATCCAAACATTTTTATTTGTATTTTATTCAGCGTTAGCTGGTATCGAGAAATAAAACAAAATGGAGTCCATGGACTATACCGTTCAACAAACTTGCAACAAACTACGAACCGCCAATATTTTAGAAATTACGTTGAATCACGTCGGTCGATTCAATGTTGCTGTTTATTCAAAGTTCGAAACTCCGAACCGGTACAGGCCAGTCCGAATAAAACTCTGCGACGCTACTCAAAGAAGTTTCGCAACTGGTCGTGGGGCCGGTAGATCAGCTTTCCGCTCGAGTACCACCTAAATTTATTCCACGAACGTTCCGTGCATTCGAAAGCCCCGCGTATCGTCCGTGGAATATCAGGCGGTTTCCACATTTTCGGCAAATAAACGTGGCTTCCACCGACTCGAAACGGACGGGAACGGACAGAAAGAAGAGAAACCGGACACGAACAAAATTTGCCTCGCTAATTGCAGAAACGATTTCGCGTTACGTCACTCCACGGTGCAAATAAGAGACACGCGGCACCAGAGAAAACGTTCGTTCGAATGATAGATGACGAATAAAATCAACGTACGACGATCTATTCGGAACGTTTGTCAATTTTTATACGTACGTATTTTTCAGAAATCATTTCATCGATGGTATATAATCATGGGTTGATGGAGGAGAGGAAGGTTCCAAAAGTTAAATTCCGAAGAAATTTTTATAGAGAAACATATTTTGGATGAACTAACTCTTAGTCATCGAGTGAAGCATGAACTTACGACAACAGCGACAAATAAAAAGGTAAGAGTACGCGGGACACACCATTCGTGAATTCCTTCGAATTTCAGCGATGGGACCGTAGTCCCCTTTTCGTTCTTCTTTCTGAGAAGGCTGCGATCGTTTGGCAGTTCGCCTTGCCTCGTAAGCAAGCGTGACAAGCGTAGACAGCCGTGCCAATTATTTACACAATAACTCACGATCCTTGGTATCAATAAACAAACTGCAAACACGCGAGGCGTCGGTTTGATCGTTTAGCTCGAGGATGGGGACCCTGTGGCCAAAGGAACGCACACACACGGTCTTTCGAGATGCCCGGTGTGGCTTGTCCCCTCTTTTTTGTCAATTGTTCATCT